GAGGAAAACGAGGTTAATAATCAAGCAACTATGGTGCATCCGAAAGAGGATGAACATGCTGTAGCGGAAGCAGCTGTCATTGACGATATTCAATACGACGAGCTGGCGCAACTGCAGCAAAGTCTAGACGACGATGTGGATATGTTGGCCACAGCTGAAACGACTGGCGGCGTGGATGAGAAGAGTTCGTCATTTCCTTTTGGAGCCGTTACCGAACAGCATTCTGAGACCAGTGATGAGGTCAAAGAGAGTCGAACCGAAGAAGGTGTAGATACATCTTTGTTAGCTTCCTTGGCTGGTGACAATGCCAACAGTTTACCTTCTGTTGGTGGAAATGATGAAAATGAGACGAACGCAAAAAAAGCAAACTTTGAATCAACTTCAGAAGCACTACAGCCACTTGAGAGTAAACTCAGCTCATCCGAGGATTCTATCTCGCATCAAGCGATAGCCGAGAGCTTAGGCGAAGACGTGGACCACGAAATGGACACTAGCAATGCTACTATTGTAAATACTGAAATCATCTCAGAAGACGAGCTGCCGCCACCAAGCAAACCAGAAATTAATGATGCCGAAGAGGTATCCGATGAGGAGCTGCCAGCACCACAGCGCGCAGAGTTGCCGGCTGATGCTGAAGTCATTTCCGAGGATGAGTTGCCCACGAACAACAACAACGAATCAAAGCATAGTGGGAAACGAAAGGCTAGCAAGGACTCGAATGCAACAAAAGCCGAAGATGCTGATGACGAACAACAGAGCAGCAGTGAAGCGAGCTCTAAAGGCAAGCACCCGGAGCAATATAATCCCTGCAGTCCAACAACAGAGAGTAACGATGCACCACCCCTAGAGAAGCGTCCTCGGGTTGATGAAGGTGGGTTATTTGGGGATTTTCTAGAAAATGGCACATTAAAATTTATAAATATTTTCCGATAGATGCCGAGCACAAAGACAAGGACAAGGAAAAAGACAGCCAGAAGAGGGATAAGGAGCGTGACAAAGACAAAGAGAAGGAGAAGGAAAAAGACAAGGAGAAAGATAAAGAGAAAGAGCGCAAAAAATTGCCGGATCTCGACAAATACTGGCGAGTTGTCAAAGATGATCCATCGGACTTCACGGGCTGGACATATTTGCTGCAATACGTAGACAGCGAGGTGGGTATTCTCAGATAAACTTAATGGATAACAGTTGTAATTCGATTCATTAATTTAGTCGGATGCTGAGGCGGCACGCGAAGCCTACGACACATTCCTGTCGCATTACCCCTACTGTTATGGCTATTGGCGAAAGTATGCGGACTATGAGAAGCGCAAAGGCATCAAGGCCAACTGCTATAAGGTGAGTACCCAACACAATTTTATGCAATTAAACAAACTTTGCCATTCTTTGTTTTATGCTTAATATTACTATTACAATTGATATTACATGTGTTGTTATAATGCAATTTATTATAACTGAATAAAAAATCTACATTCAATAAAAGCAACGATTACCAAAAAAAAACAGAACAAACTAAATTACAGAAACAATATATATAATATTTATGTATATAGAATCCAACTGATCCACACACGTTTAGTCAGCGGTCAACGTCAGTTTCGGCGTAGCACAAGGTCTCGATTGATAAATCCTTTGTTATACGTGCTCTCTCAGTACAAATTCAATACAAGGACTTTTTATTTCTGATGTTGCATGTCCTCTGTTCTAGATGTTAGCTGAATATCTATTATTTGGTATTTCATATTTTCGTCTTTGAGCTGAGTTGGAAATCATTTTCCAAAATATTTTCCTAATACAAAACTCTTTCTACATTTACATGTTCTGCCTGATAATCAAATGAACTTAATGTTTAATTCTGGATTGTTTTGAGTTGCTTTCACAAGCAAATTATATTTTAAATTTTAAAAAATCTGTTCCTTAGATTTCTCAATCGTTGACCTGGAATCTCACTTGCCGCCCCTTTTCTCAGTCTCAGTCTATGTGCTTTATATGTCGTGTTTACGGTGTTTAATTAGCTGTTCCTTTAGATAAAGAAAAACTCACAATTGTCTTTTCACAACACGTTCGACTATCGGGCACAATTAATGTTGCTCTTCAATTGCAACAGAATTTTGTTTATTGTATATTCCGCAACATACGTTGTATTAAAAAGAAAGCATTATACACTGATTTCTCATTTTCAATGGGTTCAGTGAGTAATAAACAAAAGCCACAAATGTATCTATCACAACTGACCCACGAATTCGACTAGTTGGTCAACCGTTCGTTTATCAACTTCTCTGCTCTACTTCGCACGTTTTCGTTGTCGTTATCACCATACAACTCCTTCGACTCCTACAACACGTTCTCTCGTGAAGCCGTAAGTAAGTACAAATGGCGTTTAAATGAAATTTTTAAGTCTATTAGTGCAAAAAAAAAAAAAGATTTATAATATACATATATATATATACAATTCAAAATCGTGTTACTTTATCTGTGTGTGTGTCTATCTTATGTATGTTTCTATGTATTTCACATTAAGTTACTTAAGAATCATAAGCTAACTGTTAAGACACCGAGACACCACCACAAAAACAAAAACAACAGCCCGAGTTAGTTAGACTTCTAAGTGTTAAGTATGGAACTTGCTAAAGTCTTTTTCAAATCTTTGTAAACATTTCTATTTCTTCTCTACGTTCAACAATCAAAAATGTGAAATCGATTCAAATTCTGTAAAAAAAAAAAAAAAAAAAATCGTAAAACACGTAGGTATTTGAACGTGGTCTGGAAGCCATACCCTTGTCCGTCGATCTTTGGATACATTATCTGATGCACATCAAGGCGAATCATGGCGACGAGGAGCAATTCATACGCAGTCAATACGAGCGAGCGGTGCAGGCGTGCGGACTGGAGTTTCGCTCAGACAAGCTTTGGGATGCCTATATACGTTGGGAGAATGAATCAAAGCGCTATCACCGCGTAGTGCAAATATACGATCGTCTCCTTACGATACCTACCCAGGGCTACAACGGTCACTTTGACAAGTAAGTTCAAATTGATTTCCCAACATAGATTGGATTTGAAAATCCCTTCTCCTTGCAGTTTTCAAGATGTTATTCATCAACAAGCGATAACCTCCACGATTAGCAGCGAGGAGTTGCTTCGCTTGCGCAGAGACTGGCACGAACGCCAGCAGAGCAAGTCATCAAAATCGTCATCCAAAAGTCGTCGCGACAGCTCCAGCTCTAAGGATCGTGATCGCGACCGGGAACGCGATGAGAAGCACAAAGATGTCTCTGGCGGAAAGTCACCCAAAGAGAGTAGTGAAACGCTTGCTGACGAATCTGCAAATAACAGCGATCTATCCACAAGTGAGCCATCATCCGCGACGGCCACATCGAAGGCACCTCACGTTGATCTCAGCGATCTCAGCACGCTCACCGAGGAGGAGATAGCGGCCATTAAAGAAAGAGCAATATCAGCGCGACGCAAGCTGCACAAGTTGACTGTTAGTGCGGTTACGGCACGCTGGTCCTTTGAGGAGGGCATAAAGCGACCATATTTCCATGTGAAGCCTTTGGAACGAGCTCAGCTCAAAAACTGGAAGGACTACCTTGACTTTGAGATCGAGAAGGGTGATCGAGAACGCATTCTGGTGCTCTTCGAACGTTGTCTTATTGCCTGCGCTTTGTATGAGGAATTCTGGCTGAAGATGCTGCGCTATCTGGAGTCGCTGAATGACCAAAGCCAAAATACAGTGGACATTACACGTGACGTCTATCGCCGTGCCTGTCGCATCCATCATCAAGACAAGCCTAGTCTGCATTTAATGTGGGCCGCTTTTGAGGAGTGCCAGCAAAACTTTGATGGCGCCGCCGAAATTCTGGAACGCCTAGAACAGCGTTGTCCCAACCTCTTGCAAGTTGCCTATCGCCGCATCAATGTGGAGCGACGTCGCGGTGCTCTGGACCGATGCCGTGAGCTGTACGAGCATTACATCGATCATAGCAAAAACAAAGCCATTGCCGGCAGCTTGGCCATCAAATACGCTCGATTTCTTAACAAAATCTGCAATGATCTGGACGGTGGCCTGGCCGTACTGCAGAAGGCTCTAGAACGAGATCCGGCCAACACTCGTGTTGCCCTGCAAATGATTGACTTGTGCTTGCAGCGGCCACAGGTTGTGGAACAGGAGATCGTCCAGATTATGGATAAGTTTATGGCACGTGCTGACATTGAGCCAGACCAGAAGGTGCTCTTTGCGCAGCGAAAGGTTGAGTTTCTAGAGGACTTTGGCAGCACTGCCAAGGGTCTGCAGGATGCGCAACGAGCGCTGCAACTTGCACTTAGCAAGGCCAACGAGGCACAAAAGAAGAGGTAAAGTCAAACATAACTGAATTTAGTTTACATAAAACTAACTTTTTGCCTTGCCTCCCCAGCAATGACGCAAGTCCAAGTCGCAAAAATTCTACCAACACGAAGGATAACGCCGCCACCTCCAGCGGCTCATCTGCCGCACCGAATGCCTACAACAATGGTGGATCGGCGGCCGGCAATGCCAATTACAATTACAATTCGGTCAATTCAAGCGCTTACTATGCTCAACAGAGCGGAGGCGCCTATCCGCCCCAGCAACAGCCGCAATCGTACGACTCTTACTACAATCAATGGGGCGGCTACAGCTCTGGGGGTGGTGGTGGTGCTAGTACCGGCGGTGCTGGCTACAATTATGGCCAGTGGAGTGGTTATGGTAACTATTACTGAAACAGGCATCATTTTACCCAGTCGCGTTCCCCCTATCAGACTAGCTATGAGTGGTGCCGTCGGAGTTAGCCTTGTTAAACTCTAATGTAAAGATATTTGTAATTTTATAATTGTTTCTTAAAATACATACTTATAAATATGTAGCATATATGTATGTGAGCACTTAAATTCATATGTGAATATTATTTGCAACAGACACACATCCACAACCAATACAAATACAAATACAAACACAGAAACAATATGCATAGACTATACTATTATGGATATTAATTTAATCGGTTCTCTGTAATCGCCCGATATTAAAATTTATTGGCAATTACATTGTTGTTGATGTTCTTCGAAAAATTAGGAAATGGGTCTAGAGCTAATAAAAAAATGTACAGTTTAAAAATTACTTTCGTCATTTAGAGATATGGCCGATACCAAGCCACCTCGCCACTATTGCATCCAGTTACTAGAAGTGGCTCGCGTGGACTAAACTTGGCACAAAGCACCACATCCTGATGTTCAACAATGTTAGCCAACTCCACAAGCTGCCGCGGACTATGCTTCACCTGTTCCAGCATCACCTGGCTGGGATAGTCACTGCAGTCTGCCTGATAGCCGAGCAGCCGCACCCCATTGGCATAAGGCGAACATATGACACGGCCATCCGCCGAAAATCCCGGCTCCTTGATGAAGCCTGGCTTGTTGTTTGTCTCGGAGGCATAGTACAGCAGCTTCTTAGCATTCACTAATATGGTATGTGCCGCATTCTCGCCTGCCGTTGCCACAGCTGCAGCTGAGATGTTGCTGAGCGGGCGCATGCGCAAACCTGCGCCAACTTCTGGCCCGACGGTGCTTTCATTATTGGTATTACTACTCCCACTAGCACTAGCACTAGCGCCGCTGCCACTGGTGCTACTGTTCCGACTACCGGCTGTCTCTGAGGTTGCAGCAGGAGGTTCTGTCTGTGTACTCTGATCTCCACCCAGGGCAGCACGTGTACGTGCTGCACCGCCCAGAAACCGAGCGGCCGAGGAGTAGCGCAGTGGCAGCACCCCGCTACTGATGGCGTAAACAAAGTTGTAGCCGCTGACATGATTGGCAGAGTTTCGTGCTCGACTTTGACGTATAGCTCTCTCCTGCACTGTTACCTCAGCCGCCCAGATGTCCGGTATAAAGCTATCGGAGCCCGCACTGACCAACGACATTGTGCCGTTCACTCTACGCGGGTAAAATATTCGTCGCACATGAGACCGACCTTGTGCACCACGCTGTGGTGGCTCTTCTTGGTCTGCTTCAAGCGGTTGGTCCAATAGCGTGCGTTTCTTCTTGGTCAAGGGCTCATCCTCATCATTACTGTCATCATCAATCAGTTCTGGTTCCTCGTTAATATCATGGATGCAAGTCCATTCGCTCTGTTCATCGCAGCTTACATTCCTGGTCAGCATACAGCGGCACTGTGGATGTATCTGTAGTGCCATTATCATCTCCGCATCGTTTTGCTCTGGAAAATCTGTCACTAGTTCTACACGATTCTTCTTCTGGTACTTCGAAAAGACATGATCATATTTTGCAGCCTGTGGTATGTACTGATCGCCCAGCTGCATCAGTCTGTAGATGCCAGGCTATGGTGGGAAACATATTAGGCTACCTGAAGATATTGTAATGAATGCAAATTTACCCGGAATCCACACAAATCCTTGTGTAATGTCGTCAGATCCAAGTGGTGCACAATCATAATGTAACCACTGCTGGTACACAAAACCAACTTATCTCCAGCTGGTGAAATGCGACAACGCATCAGACCACTGGCATGGAAAACACGCTGTGAGATCAAGCCTTGCTCAGTCTGCGACTTAATGTCCCACGTAAATATGCTGCCATCAAAGCCAGAAGTAACCAGCAGCTTATCCTTGGACGAGTACTCTATGTTTTTCACCCAATTCGAATGACCATGAAGCACACGCATCTTTTGTTTCATGTTGCGCAGGTCCCACAAGGCCACTGTAAAATCATCGGAGCCTGTGGCGAACAAACGATCATCGAAAAATCTAGAAAATAATATTTGATTTAATAGGCAATAAGCATTATGACTATCAATGCTCACTTAATGCAATTAACACTGTCTGAGTGGGCATCGGGAATTTTGAAGATTTCCTTTTGAGTGATGGCATCAAAAACGAGGACACACTTGCGCTCAGTGGCCGCAACAACCATGTTTCCATCAGCATTGAACTCCAGATTGTATATGGCACCAGTGTCCTGTCCGGCCGTGCCTGGATTGCAATTGGAATGGTAACTGTTGAACATGCCCATTGAGCTGTAAATGCGGCGCATCAGCATATTCTCAGCACCCGTGTTCCTGTGCTGATGCTGCCAGCAGCTCTCTCGTCGGTTCAGATACTGCTCCATGTTGCTAATATATGTGCACAATCCACTTTATCTGTTGCCACTTTGCAGATCTGATGGGCTGTGTATATTAAAAAATTTTGACTGAGTAGAGATGTCAATATCGGTAAGTCTGTGACCGGTCACTGCGAAACATCGATTCCTAATCAATTCGAAATTATTTTTAGCACTAATTTAATTATTATTAAATACATTTTTAAATCATTTTTAAAAGAACATTCTACCTAATAATACGCCACCTTTATAACAATAATAAATTCTATATATGTAGCTAACGATTTACATAAACATTTGACAGCCCTGACCCTGATTATGACTGGTTTAAATATCGGCATGTAGAATGCTGTTAGTGGTTTGCTTGCTTGTTCATATTTTATGCATGAATGCAGTTTGTAATTAGTAAAATATATGCGATTCCAATAAATATGTAAGGTAACTATCATATTCCAAGTTAATAAATAAATATAAATATATATATAAATAAAAATATAAAAAGTAAAAAATGACATATACAAAATGAGTATATTTATGTAATATATGGATAGATTTTCACATTTTCTTTTTATTAAAAGATCATGTTCTATTTTATTGTTTTTACTGTTTCTCAATGTCGTTTAGAACAGTCAAATAAATATTTTTCTCCTTCTACGCTGTAGCCCTGGCGAGTGTGGCCGTTCATAATTGTGAATTAGTGTTTGGGCACACTAGTTTCTGTGGGCAATAAACAAAAAGTGAACTCTTTTGCAGCAAGTTCAACTACAAATATGTAGGAGTATAATTTTTGCAGCAAGAAATTAAATAGCAGCAACAATATGGAGCGCTTCGCTTTCAAGATTGATGCGGCTCTCAAAGCAAACTTGTACAAGATCTGTCGTTTGTGCGGCATCGATAATCCGACGAAGGTGCCAATACTACCCGTTGAGAGTGATGTTGTGGACCTGGACGAGCCCAGTCTGAGCCAAAAAGTTTTCGAATTGGTTGGCTTTACGGTAAATAATGTGTACCTATATACTGAAAATATGTGATCTAGTAAAAAAAACACCCCATTTACAGGTTACGCGCAACGATAAAATGCCGCAGACAATGTGCAGCCTGTGCGTGGATAAAATCAATGATTTTTATGAGTTTAGAGAAATGTGCTACGCAACAAACAATCAAACTCGAAAACTACTTGGCCTGAAAAGTGTGGATCCCCAAAAGGTAAGCATCAGCATTAAATTATAACTTGAAGTATTTACAAACTATATTCCATTCACAGATTGTAGATGTGAAACCGATATTTAAAAGCGAGCCGTTAACAGCAGCCACACCTGCCAAGCGCGGGCGTAAACGTAAAACGGAAGACGCCGCCAGTAGCAGTAACAAATCAAATACCCCTGATATCCCTTTGGATGCTGTCAAAAATGAGCCACTAAGCTGGCGGAAAAAGCTGCGTTTGCAGCCTCAGCCACAGTTGTTGACAGCGAACAAAACGGAAATGTAAGTGCATTGTTAAAATAAAAAAATGGTAATATACTAATTGCTTGAAATACAGAAAGGAGGAGCCTGCTGAGGTAAAAAAGTGTTCAATATCCGCCAAGAAGTCTCGGAAAGCCATTTGCAGTGTGTGCAGTGAACGTTTCGAGAGCAAGGAGCTGGCCGAGCAGCATAAGGCAGCAGAACATGTACCCACAATATTGCGCTATTATTGTACCGCCTGCAATCAGGGTCATCACAATCTCAGCGATATCAAAGCCCATCAGCTATGGCACAAGCTCTCTAAGACACCTTACCAGTGCCCACTGTGCAATGCAAGCATAGCAAACAATTATGCCTACTCTCGACATCTGCGCGAGCATACATCACCCACCCCTATCGAGTTGCTGGTGCTAGATCGCGAGTGTCCACTGTGCAAGAAAACGTTTCTAACAAATTTCTTTTACAATACACATCCCTGTGCCCGGCGCACACGCCAATGTGGTGGGTGCAACCGGCCGCTCAGCAGTGAAGTTGCCTATATGCGCCATGCGCCGCATTGTGCAAAGATCTACTTGAATCACTCCAAGCACATAATGCCTGAGGCTGCTAGCCATGAATCAGAGATGCGTATCAAAAACGAAAACGATTTGGAAGCCGAGGATAATGCGCAATCATCCAATGTATACACAAAGCAAATTGAAATGCAGCCAGTGGTTGTGCTCGAACGCTTGGGATCACCACTATTGCGCGCTTCATCCGCGGGTCGTAGCGCTGACCGGGTGTCATCCAAAAATTATTTGAAACGCGTCGATCAGTTGCTTAAGAACACAATGAACACGCTTGTTAGCATTAAGCACGAGCCGGAGGTGCACATCGATGACACTGTGCCACCGCTAGCCTCTGAAGAGCCTGATAGCGACCCAAGTGATGAACCGCCTCCTTGTGATGACTTCCATGCAGATGCTGGCTACGATGATAGCGACGAGGATGCAGCCAATGGCAGTGCCAATGCAGAAGCTGTTCCCTCATCTAATCCGACAGCTGAGTCTGTGAAACAGGAAGTCATTGATGAGTCCTACGAGAAGCAGTTAATGTCCAGCAGCGATGGCATGCAAATAAAGCAGGAGCCACTTAAGCTGAAGCTGAAGATAACCAAAAATCATGGGCAGCTCAATTCATCAATCGTGGATGATGACAATGAGGTGCAGTCCAAGAGCGCTAAAAAGAAAAAGAAACGAAAGCATAAGGAGCGTAATAAGGATTCGGAAGCTAGCGATAAAGCAACGGAATCGGCCACAGCTCCTGAGGAATCTCCAATCGAAGAAAGCGTAGAGACTGCAGGGAGTGCTATTATGAATATAAAGCAGGAACGTTTGGATGACAGCTTTGCTAGTGATTTTGCGCCACGGGAAGAGTTCGAGCCACAATCTACGGTCATGACGAGTATACCACTGCTACAACTGGAGCGTAACTACACCGAGGAAAGCCAAAAGTTACCCGAAGAGCAAGAAGATGTTAAGCCGAATCGATTGGAACTCGATCGCATAATGCAAATAACTCATATAGCTAGCGGTGTGCTCATGGCAGAGGAGGCAATGCCACTAGAGAACGCCGTGGAAGCAGTGCCCCAGGAGGACCATGTGGTCGAAAGGCCAGCAAATCCCACTAAGAAGATTGCAACAAAATCTACAGCACGTAAAAGCACGGGAGGCGCCATGCAACGGAATGTTGCGTCTTCGTCAAATTCACTGCCAACCACAGTAGAGCAGCTACCACAAATTGTGGCAGTGGAAAGTGGTGCCTCGGTGCCTTTCAATTCAGTTGCTATCAAACCGGAGCCCCTGAATCGTGGCTACGCGGATGAGGAGCTGGAGTGGAGCGGCCAAAATGAAATGGAAGCAGAGCATGAGACAAACAAATCCAATGAGATAAACCACAATGACAGCAGAGACGATGAGGCGGCATATATAAACAGTCTAGACTTAAGCAATGTAATTATTAAGCAGGAGAAGGACTTGCATATCTCGGATGTCGATATCAATGGCAGTGAAGCTGACAACACGCATTACAATGGCTTGCACGAGAGTGAGGATAGTGCGGAAGATGAAAACGTCGACGGCGATTATGACGATGGTAGCGCCTCGTCTGCCGATGAAGCAGACGAGAACATGGACACGTACGAAGACCGGGAGGAACGCATTTATCGTGAAATAGAACTACAACCGTTAGATGAGCCGGATACGGTTAAAAGCCCGGCTCCAGAAACGCAAAATGAGTCCGTAATGCCACAGAAGCCAACGGAGCCGCATCCGGAAATAGCAACAGATTCGGCCCCGGAGCCAGAGGGCACGTCAATGGAGACACAAAGGGAGGCACAGGAAGAGCAGCCTCAATCAAAAATACAGACAGTGGAAACAGCCATAACCGCATTGGAGGAACAAACAATTGTTGAGACACCAAGCGGATCGGAAATACATTCGGGAGAGTCCCCAGATATGGTCGTACAGTCAGAGTCTGATCAAGAAAGACAACAAAATTTGTTGGAGTTGCCAGAGGAACCACAAATCCCAAGCGAGTCCGAGTCTCAACCCCACCCACACAGTGAATCAGCTTTCAATTTTGTCATCACTAGTGTCTGTAGTCAGGCAGAGCAGCATCCATTGGCAGCTAACGACGAGCAGCTCGAAGACATCAACTCGGAGCCACCTCAGTTGGATGCCGGTGAGAAAAGCGCAAAAAGTGAGGAGCAAAACACATCTCCGGTTGTGACCCTAAGCGCGCCCAAGGATAGCGAGACACTGGCCCAGCCAGTCTACGCCAGCTCCTCGAACTACAATTGCGCTGAGGAGCAACAGAATGTGCTCAACCATGAGCTGTCCGCCACTGTGCAAGAGACACATCGTGAGACGGAATCGGAAACAGATCCCTCGACCGCAGCAGTTTGCATTGCGGCGCTAGCTGAAGATGCTCACAGCGCCAACGAAGAGACTGAGAACCGCATCAATGAGCAGCAGCAGCAACAGCTGGAGCAAGTGCAGCTGGAGCCGATGCAACAGCGTTTGGCACTCGATGATGATTCGAATATCAATGAAATAGCAGAGAATAACAATAATGCCAACATTGAACGGGAGCTCAACGACGATGCAAATGTGGCTCAGGAAAACCCAATGGAATAAGATAAATTTAAATTCCTAACTAAATTTAAGCATACACTTACGTTCGCTTATATAGACGCCATAAACTCACTTTGTAAATATATAATACACGTATTTCATACAGAATCCTTAACTTAGTCGCATAATACTCGTATATATAATATATACGTTACCAAAATTCGAATAATTTAATGCATGTAAATTGGAAAATAGTTTAAGTTAGATATACACAACTTTATTTACGTTAATTACATAAATTAATGGCTTATATAATACAATATAGAATACATAATATATATATATAGATATATATATATATATATATATAATGTATAATTACTATATATATATATATTTATATATAGAATATATGTACGTAGTTGTACTTATTTAAATACACACAATTCGCACATAACTCATTAGACTCGACCATGCATTAATGAATACAGCTTAACCCTCGACCTTTCACGTACTTTTCCAAAACAAGAACAAAAACAAACCAAAAATATATTATCTAATTTCAACTTATATGTGAAATGTCTAAAGAAATGACTACATTTATGTGCATTTAATGCACTTTAACTAAAAGCATTAATACTTGGAATCTGTTTAATTAGTAGATTAAAATTCCCATAGTTTTGGGTTAGACAAACAAGAAAGTCAAAACAACTGGGGATTAGTTTCTTTCAAAGAAGTTTTAGGAAGCATTATGGTCTGGTTATATAAGGTATATTCAATGATATACCTATTAGTATATTTATATTACTAATTTAAACAATTTAGCTAATTATTATTTTAAATTTTGAGCGAAAACTTGAATATTATTTTTAATTGAATTGTAACTTCGATTAGTCAGTTATGGGGCGCCATTGCCAAGGTTATACGATGTTCAATCATTAATATATTAATTAGTTTTGTTTTTAAATTTGTCGAAACATACATATACATATACATTCACAATTATATTATCGAATATAGAAAAAACCTCAGTCATCATATTTTTTTCTAGGTTCATGCATCGGTAAATTGACCCCATATAAATCTAATTGGGCCTCGATGAATTTTTTAATTTAGACAAAGTTTCACAAAATATATCTTAGGTCTTATTTACAGACTTTTCCAAGTAGTTATTGTTGTGTGTGTGTGATTTAACAGGGGAATTTTTATAGTTTCTTCATTTTTGGCACATATCTGAACAAGCATATACATATATTTTAGACTTATTGCTGTGGATACATATTCATATGTATGTACATTAATATTATTATGTTCTTTATAATTTTAAGTAATCCCTCTTTATTTTTTTGATTATGAATTCGTTATCTTTGAGCAATTGAAGGTAAAGATATGCATATGTGAATTTGAACAGAACCTTAAAAATGCTGTCATATGCGATCATAAATATTTTCGTGTTGTTGTTCTCTCTTCATTTAAAACTTGTTTGTTGTTTTAACAGTTAAAAAAAATTAAATTAAGGAGGTATGAAAAATTCACTAAACAGTATTTACAGTGATTCATCAATCGATAAATCAAAATGCCAAAGCACAAATTAAATTATTGCTTATATTTGGAATAAATTGTTTGCCATCAACCGTCATCAATCTAATCGGACCAATCGTTATCTGAGGAGGTATTATCATCCTCATCGTCTGAATGCATGACAGTGCCACGTGCCGCCAGTGCACGCCGTAACGCATCGGCGAGAGCATCGGTGCCACCGGAGCTACCGTCACTAATCCGCTGATCGGGAATCTTACGTTCAGTCACCGGCTTCAAGGCGTAACCCTCGCGTATTTGACCCAAAAGGTCGTTACGTGGATCGCTGCTGTTGGCGGTTGGAGCATTTGGCTTCACTGTCTGCAATGTTTCAATGTTTCAATGGATATTTAGACTGTGCTCTTTAAATATCTATGGTGCACTCACCTTAAGCGCTGTGCCCTTGCGTATGGCATCCATAAGCGCATTGCGGTTGTCCATTTCAGGGGCAGGTGGTGCCACTTTGCCGGCCTGTGCCGATGTCTGCGTAGAAGCAATAACCAGCGTTTCCGGTGGAGCCACGGGTGGTGGTAGCGGAGGCGGCGGCGGCGGCGCTGCCGCTGGAGGTGCTGGAGGCGGTGGTGGTGGCGGCTACAAGCAAATAGCAACACCTTTAATTGCGAAAACACGACTCTAATTAGTTGACTTACTGCTGCTGCGGGTGGACAGACCGTTGCTGGTGGTGGTGGTGGCGGAGGAGCCGTTGTAATGGGTGGCGGTCTACTGGGCGGCGGCGGAGCACGTGATGCACCTGGTACCGTCGTTGGTAACGGCGGTGGCGGTTGCCGCGCCGGTGGCGGAGGCGGCGCTGATCTTTGGTTACCATTCTGCGACTGCAACAGAATACAACGAAAATAGTTTAGATTGAAGTCAAACACAATTGGAGTCAGGCAGAGCAACATACATGATGAGGATGATGACGACTGGGCACCGGTGGCGGTTCCGTGGGCGTTGGTTCTGTAGGCGATTCAGTCTCCTCCTGTTTGACCGAGGCCAGCACATTATTGCTCTGAATGAAATCGTAGATAAACGCGCGCGTATCTCGGTCGTTCAGTTGGGATTCGGAGACGCCCGCCTTGGCAAAGAACTTGACCAACATCTCGTCGCTCTCATGGCCTGTCAGATCGAAGCCCTTGTCCGCATCCCAGCCAACGTGGCTGACGTGCACAAAGTTTGTCGGCTGACTAATATCCGCTTTGGTCACGCGACGCTTCTTATCCTTGCCTCCCGACCCACTCAGTCCGAAATTGCTCGACAAGAAGTTTTTGGTTGGCGCATGCGCTGGTGCCGGCGCCGGGGTCAGCGTCACCGAGCTGATCTTATTGTTGCGCAGCTGAACAGGAGCGGTGTCCACTGTAGTCGCCGCCGTCATCTGAATTGGGCTTCTGCCCTGCATGGTAGGATGACGAGTTGCCTCTCTGATGGTGGCTGGCATCGGAGCATGTGGCGCCTGCTGCGGCTTTTGCCTGTTCCGCTTCTCCTGCCGTTTTCGATTCCGTGTCTCTATTGTGGTGTCTATGGTGCGAAAGAACGAATCGCACTCATCCTCCGAGATGAAGTTTAAGCCCACATTGCCATCCTTCACGCACGTGGAATAATAAATTAATTGGAATTCATGTGAGGTAATGCGGACTACTTACGCTGCCCTCGAAGGTGAGCAGAAAGGGACGCGATTTGACAACCTGCATGCCATCGTATATCTCATGCTCCCAAATCAGTTCATTTTTAATCAGGCAGTAGGCTCGCAAAAAGTAGGAGCGTATGGCGCTATCCTTTACGAAGCATATGACGCCCGTATGCCTCTTCTTCCAGTGTGAGTGAGCATTACCCTCCGTCTTGTAGATCTGCACAACGGCAGTGTTCAACGTCTGCAAAGATGTGGCAATGGATTAGCATATGTTTGGCCGCCAAGTGTATACATTAGGGCAGTCCCCAAAACTCCCACCCCCCCCAAAAAAAACTAGCAGTTGGCCAATCGAGTGGCGAACACACCTTTAGCTTACGCCTCATTTGAATGCAGCGGTCAAAGACTACGAACCGTCGCGTTCGAGTTGAGAAACTCATCTGACTTTCGGTTTCGCGCTCTGCCACTTGCTTTGTCACAGACCTGGTCTTGGGCCATACGCTGCTCATTTGAATACCGATTAGCCACATTCACTACAACTTCAACACATTCACATTAGCATGTCTGTCGAGCTAGACGACTGCCTGCAACTGCAACTAGTTGGACTCTTAGGGATGCCCAGCACGTAGCCCCACAAATTGATAGCCGCCATGGACTCCACGGGAGAGACCCGCTGGCCCGCAGCTAGTTTCGTGCGGACTTGCACAACGCGCACTGCGTTGCTCCCTGTCTGTGCGCAACGGATACGATATTTGTGGTGATTTAAGACTGCGTTTTTCTTCATAATTTCCTTTTTATTGGCTGCGCAGGAAATGGTGGCGACTACGGCCACAAAACTGCCACATTTAACAATCCTTGCCAAAAGTAAACTTGCAAAAGAAAAAACAGCGTGCCATTGTCATCTGATCATTAAATCAACAAAACTTTCAACAATTTCTAAACGGCAAACAATGGATCTTAAATATGTATGCTGATGAGAAGTCAATGGGAGGAAAGCGGACAAAGGTGATTTCTTTTTGTTTGTTATGCCATTTCAGCTGAGCGAAATAAAAGATAAGAATTTACAGAAGTTTCTTGACGTCAGCTATAAGCAATATTATTTATACAATAACTTTGCCGTATAAATAATTAGCGAAAAAATACTGTTCCCAAATTCTTAAAAAAAAAAATAGCACAAAGTATTCAATATCATGTTATTGTGTTGTTAGGAACAGTCGCACGCTAACTACGAATTGTGTTTCGTAACAGTGGGACAACAGCATACTGTTATGTTAAATTTGCTTTATTCAAGTTGAGCAGTTAACCGGTTTGTTCTTCTTAAATTCTTTAATGAATATTCACACTTATAAGTATAAGAATTTGAAGACTAAACGTAGCAAGTTATGAATGATTACTACAATACGCTAGACATCTGTTTGGAGCTATACTAAACAGCTGCAATAAGGTGTTTTTCCTGCATTCTGCACTGCAATGTGGTTACCAATCTATGTACCACACAAATATTTATATCAAATAAATATGTAGTAATATTGGTAATTCAATTGAGTTCTCGAGCTAAATGCAAACTCAAAAAGTAGAAAATTGTTATATAATTGCAAATTGGCTTGTGCGTTTATGGCCCTGGCCACGACACTTGACATTTGGCCAAAAATGTTTTGGCCCTGACCGAACCATGATTGGTACAAATTGATGGCACCTATGCCATGGGCCGCTCGAATCAGAGTGCTCTGTGTTAGTTATAGCCAGAGTGCATCTAAATATGATATAATATGTGTTACATTGGCAGCTAATGCGACAGACAAACAACTGCTATATTTCTCTCTTCCTCTCTCTCTCTCTCTCTCTTTTGTCTCTTTCTGTGACCTCTTAAGATGAAAAGAGATATTGACGTTGATGTGTGTTGCCCACGCGGCGCCAAGTGCGAAATTGTGAACATATTTGAATTTTTATAGATGTTTAAGCACAACTGTAAATGTGCGTGCTTGTGAGTGTGCGTATGTGTGTGGACATAAGTAGCATTGTAAAATGATGTCTTGCCTTCTATGTGCATACTACATGAGACAAGCTTTGTTGTTGTTGTTGCTGTTGTTGCTTTTGTTGTCAAAAGCATAAAAATCGATGGCAACAATAACAAAAATAACTGGCCGTCACAGCGCAGCTTAGCTAAGCCTCTGCGCGTGTGTGTATACATGTGCATGTGTATGCGAGAGTGAGCGATAGAGACAGAGAGAGGAGGGCAAGGGAGCAATGGAGCGCATTAAAAGCCCAGCTAAATAGCAACGGCAACGAGAGCAGCAGCGTCTGCAAAACGGCAAGAGCAACACGAAACCAGACAAAAGGCAAAACAGCAATTAGAAAGTCCAGTTGCCGCCAGTGGTCACTGTTGGCCAATGTACAGTAAAATGCGTGAACTAAGTTTATACAAAATAAATGCAAACAAATGAGTGACAAATGGACTGCATCAACAGCGACAGCATTAGGCTGTGAGGTAATTCTGTTAGGCCAAAGCGTTATCATACGCTGACATCGCAGCCGACGTCGTTGCGCGTTGCAGCTGCAGTGAGTAGCTGCGCCATTAACCACAACAACTTTTGCGGGCATGTCAATGGGGGCGTGGTTTGTAGCTAATCTCACATCTATTTCTTTACAAATGCCCTTGAGTACATTCTACAGGGTATGCCTAAAATTGTCAACCAGCAAATCTGAATTAGGCCAATGATCATTATATCGGGAACTATTATGAACTAGTTCTAAAGAAATCAATACGTTACAAATATTCATATTTATCGATTAGGCAGCCATCGATAAGTATATATAAAAGGATAGTGCTATGCATTTTCAATGCTATTTATTTATTATTATCAACTTTTTAATTACAGAGTATCAGGTTTCTCTTCCATTCCGTCAATCTTACTTGGTTTCACATGTTTCTGTTATTGTTGCAGCCAGCGTAAAGCAAAAGTTCATAAACATTGAAAATGTTTGTCAATGGAAAGTCGAAAATTAGCAAAGCGTGAATTACAATTAAAAGCAGATACAACTACTTTTACATATCGTGTAAGCATTCCAATTAAATACAGATACAGCATACTCTCTAGTTTTCTGCGTCTATATTTTTAAATGTTCTTCGAGGCCCCAAAGTTGGTTATCTTCATTTTTTCATTTCTTGGCATTGGCTATGGAATCTGATAAGATAAGTCTACACACTATTTGTTCTATATTGAATTTATCAATTGCAAATGCTTATCAACTCTCTCATTACCATAAGATTGTGTGTTTGTATGTGCGTGCTCTACGATTTTAACGGATTTTGGTGCAAACAAAAAAAAGAAAAACAAGGCTTTGTCAATATGTCGATGATTACGAATGGCCGATTCATTATTGACTTAAAGAGCCCAAGAAATCGGGCTGATAGCGGACTTTTAAAGGTCTACAATAACATTTATAAATATTCCATGCCAAATGTTTCGAATGACACAAAAACCAAGAGGCA